CTTCCTCTTCCTCTTCCTCTTCCTCTTCCTCTTCCTCTTCCTCTTCCTCTTCCTCTTCCTCTTCCTCTCCTTCCTCCCTCTTCTCTGCGTTTTTTTTTTTTGAAAATTCGCCCCCAAAACGACGGCGTTTTGGGGGCGACAGGGGATGGCGACCGAGGATCCAGATTCCTCTCCTTACACTCCTTTACTTCGTCTTTTGCTCCCTGATTCTACTTCACTTCTGATTCTACTTTGTTTGTATCTGCTCATCACTTATCCTCACTATTTATAGATGCAAATGTGCCAGGCCCAAGCAAATTATCACCCACGTGGACAATTTCTCCCATTGCCACCTGTTCCTTTATCTCTCTAAGTTTAACCCCTAATTGACACTTGTTTCACCCCTTAGTTTTTCTTTTTTTTTTTTTTTTTTCATCTCCATGCTTTCACCAAGGGCAATGGCAGCCACGTTGCTTTCTATTTTCCTGCCACTGCCACGTTATCAGTTGGTTGGTATTTGAGGGATGAAGCCACCTGTCCTATTTCAGGAGTCAGCAAAATTAGTTTGATTTTATAAAATTCTTAAGGGTTATCACTTTTTTGGTGATTTATAATGATTCCTAAAATTACGTATAATTATAAGTTAGGTTCATATCTAAAAACCTTACTACTAAACTATAAAACATCACTTACCACTTACTAAAATATTTAACGTGTGGCGTCTTACAATTTATTTTCTTAACAATTTAATCGATAAATTCCCAATTTCCTAAAGTATGCATTTATTTATTTATTATTATTTATTTATTTTTGAGTTCTATTTATTGAAATTTTAAATTAAAAAAAAAGAAAATTCGAGTGTCACACATGAAGGCAGGCAACTAATGGCCATTACTCCTACAAAACTGCTGGAGTAATAGACCAAAACTAATGGAAAAAATATCTGAGATATATTTTATGTATACACAAGTGTGTATACTTGCAGCAGACTTGGACCAAAAAGTTTAGGTTGGTGGACCACCAATCCGGCCCAGCCTAAACCTAACCCATTCCAGTAAGCCTCAAGCCTCACGGCCCATGGACTCGGACCCGGCCTGGTCCGAGCGAGAGGCGGCTCGTGAGCGCGCGCGCGCTTGTGACAATTTTTCCATGACTAACTTGGATCATAGTCTTGGTCCAAGTCCATCCTTAAAGCATCCATAACTCATTTTTTTCGAAAAATTTGGATGCTTCAAAAGGTACTTATCCTTTATCAAAATATTGAGGTTTAAATACCAATCAAAGCTTTCCTTTACAATCAACGTGGGATTGGTAGTTTATACACAATTCCCAATACCTCATTCATGAGACAATTTTTATGAGACAATTTCTCATTCAATTCTCAATAGTTTTTTGTCATTCTTTTTATGGTATAAAAACCTTGTTACAAAGAATCTAAACCCATTTAATCCCATCTTAACCAATGGTTAGGACTTACTTTGATTTCACATTAAAGTTACCAAAAAACTATTTTTTTTCCAACATGAAGTCGCAAGCTCGCTTCCACCGGAAAATGTTTTGCAGTTTTAAGAAAATAGATAAACCTTTTCTGCCAAAGGCGGCGATATTTCCAATGGTAAAGGATGGCGACGATGGAGGTTGGTGGCGGCGAACTTGAGCGTGAGTGAACCATCGGCGAAACAATGTGTGGAGGTCCGATCTGGCGATAATGGAAACGAAACTGAAGGGAGTACGGAGATGACGGGAAAGGCAGCGGCGGTGGTGTTGGTAGCAGTGGCGGCGGAGGTGGTGATGGTGAAGTAAGGAGATTGGGGGGAAGAGAGAGAGAGAGAGTGGTGGACCGTCTCCCGTCTAGATCTGGGACAGTTCGGTCCAGTTCGGTCCATTGGGTCTATTTTTAGGCCCATTTTTGATAATTAGAACCATTTATATTTTAGGGTTTGTTGAATATATTATTCTTATAAAAAATCATGTCGATCGAATTACGAATATTATGTATTCAAATCACTTTTATTTAAAAAAAAATGGACAGTCAGAAATTAACGATTCACAAAAAAGTGATCCGAATGCATAATATTCGTTATCCGATTGACGTAATTGTTTATAAGGATAATATACTCAACAAATCTTAAAATGTGACGTTCAGATTATCAAAAAACAACCTAAAAGTAGGCCTAATGGGCTGGACTATACCCTCTAGTCAAGCCCCAATCATGCTTATATATGTATATATAAGGACAGTTTGGCCATTTGACAGAATTTTGTCCCTATGGGCATAATGTTTTAAAGAAAAGACCTTTAAATAAAAAAAATTTAATTTTAAACTTTTGAATCGAGTTATATATATATTGTGATATATCAAGAGGTCAATCCAAATATTACTTTTTTCGTTTTAAAATAATATTTCTTTCTAAAAAATTAATTTTTTTTTGATAGTACAATTATTACGCTTAAAAAAAATTGATTTTTCAAAATTACCCTTTGATAGTACATTTTTTGAAGAATATTAATTATCATAATTGTACTTTTTGTGTTGTTAATGAATTTAAAAGAAGAGTAAAATAGAAAATTTATATTATTTTAGTCCTTAATTTTTGAAAATAGACTAATATTTTGAAACAATGAAAAATGAAATAAAGGATTAATATTTTAAGAGGGTAGGAGTAATTTTTTAAAATTCATATTATATGTTTTTTCTTTGGTTATTTGTTTTTCTCATTTGGTTGTTGGTGTTCAGCTTGTGGGCTTGTATTATTGGACTAGTTTATCCTATTTGACATAATCAGCTTGATATTTGCAGATATCAGTAAATATATTTTTACTGATTGATTAAAAAAAATTTTAAAAATAATAAAAACTATAGATCATGAGACATACCAAAATTTGTTTCTCATAAATAAAAATATATTGAGTATGATGGTAATAGCATCCAATATTTATTTAAGAGAGAAAAGCACAACAACCTGTTGTGCCTCTGTGAGCCAATTCCAAGGCTATTTCGATAATCTAAATTGTTCATATTGTAAAATTTATCAACAGATTATCTACCAAAAAAATAAGCTAATCAAACATTTATAGTCACATAATAAGTTCACATTTATTTTTTTTATAAAAAAATAAACAACAAGCATAATATCAATTTTTTTTAAACACAATTATAATCTGATCATATGTTTATGAATGTCTAATTAACTTAATTTTTTTATATATATTTTACTTAACAAACTTTATAATATAAACAGTTTAAATTAACGACATAAATTCATAATCATGCCAAGTCCCTGATGGGATGCATTAGGCTTTTAAAGCAAGACTTGCATTTTAAACCCACTTTAAATTGGGTCGGTAGAGTGCACGTTATGTGTGTATGAGTGGCAGCCAATGGAGTAAAAAAAAGACCTATAAAAGGCTTCCACGGTGACCCCTCTCTCTATTGCCTTCAAATTCTTTCATATCCACTAGTTGGATTGGACCCCTCGCCTCATTCCCCTAAACTTTCTTCATATTTTCATCATGTTGGGTTCTAGCTTGGGATAAATATATTATTTGTTCTCTATATTGTTGTACTCTAATTAAAATAAGTACAAATTTATTATCCTTCTCAATTGATACAATTATAAGGAGGTAAAGTAAGTGTTATAAACTTGTACTTAGGCACACAATTAATTAATGTGAATATAATTTATTCCATAACATTACAACTTTTAATTCTTTCAAATGCACATATATATATTTTATGTTTTGCTGTGACATGTGTTCATTTTCCAACAATGTCAAAAATGTTAATAAAAATATTATTTTTTAATTCGTTTCTTAAAATATTAAATTAAAAATATCATTTATAAGCTTCATTTTCGTAGTTAAATTTCACACAAAGGGTTAGCTTGAGATGTAGCTTTTTAAATAATTTTTTTTGATTAAAATGTTTTTGTTGGCAAGATTGTAAGATATTAATTTATTAGTAAAATTAGATTATAATTAGTTGTCGTTTGACATTAGCTTTTTTAGTTGGTTTTTTTGTGTTGAGCCTTTTTTTAAGCCTCGTTTGGTTTGGCTTTTTTGATTTTTTTGACTTTTGTGAGAAAAAAAAGTACAATGATTATAGTTTGAATATGACATTTTGTCTTATTGACTTATATAATTAATTTTATTTTTTTTATATTTTTTTAATCAAAAATCTAGAACCAAACGAAGGTTGAGTGAGTTTGATCAGATTGAGGGTTTGTCAACCCATAATAATCCGAAGTGTTGGGATATTTACCCAAGTACAACTACAGCTTCACCTAAATAGAATCTGAATCCAATATTGAAACCAGTATTGAAGGATTTCAACTTTTCAGTCCAAGACTTTATTTTCAATCTAAGACAGATCAGGAAGTGCTTGGGGAATTGGCAAATTGGTTGAGTGCCCAATTCAGCAGGTGTTCTGTTTATTATCCTTTATGTTGTTGTTTGGTGCAGGGGAAGAAGGCATTTACTAAGTGAAGTATTGTATCAGTAATGGAGGAGCTGTGGCATTTGAGAGGAACATATCCGAGTGGGATCTTCATTTTGGTGTTGTGCTGTGTGATGCATTTGGTGTTGTTTTAATATACTTAGTTTTGACATACTTTGTTTTGTTTGCTGCTAATGCATTGGTGATAAGATGTTGCTTGGTGAGATGCTGCTATTTTGGTTTGGCAAAGGCTCATTGGGCTTTTTGGCTCAATGAGTCATAAAAGACAGAATAGGCTCATGAGCCACAACAGACAAAACATCCCATCCAACCCTATAATCATTACACTCTTCTCTCACAAAAAAATAAAAAAAGTCAAAAAACCAAAAATCCTTCCCAAACTAAGCTTTTAAGCCCAGGCTCATATAGTCAAAAAAGTCAAAAAAGCAAAAATTCAACCCACTTCTCAAATTCTAATTTTGACTAAAAAATAAAAGTTTTTTTTAATTTATTTTTTGATATTTTTCCAGAATTGAAAAAAGGCAATTGTGGAAATTAAAATTTGACAAAAAGCTGTTTATAGCTTGAAAAACACACTATGTGGTGTAAATGCAGCAAATCCTTTTTCTGATGCTGTTGTTCTTCTCTCTCTTTCTCTCTCTTCCCAGGAAAGATTGAAGGTCAGTCTGAGCAGTATTTTGGTGCAATCACAAAGACAGAGCAATGGCAAACAGAGTACCTGAGCCTAACCCTGTGGTCTTGCAAAGTGACCAATTGTATCAGGTGATTCCATTTCCAATCCCAATTTCTAATCAATCAACTTCCATGTTCTTCTCTCTGTCTCTCTCCTCATGATCTTTGAATTCCAGGGTGTTATTTTGATCTGATTTTCTATTTACAAAACTCTGCAGTATATACTGGAGACTAGTGTCTACCCACGAGAGTCAGAGCATCTCAAGCAGATCAGGGATGCCACTGCAACCCATCCAGCGTAACTAATTCTCTATCTCTATGTTTATGTATACAGGGACGGAACCAGAATTTCATTACTGGACGGCCAAAAGAAGAATAAATTTTTTTCATCATATACACATTCAAATATATATGTATAATATGATATATAAATTATATATATGTAAAAAAAATTTAAATACCATGGGAAGTGTAGGAGAGGGTTCAAGAAAGTTTGCCTTCTTCTTCACCCAATCTCTTATCTCCATCATCTCCTTTGTTGTTGTGTTCCTAAGTTGAGATTATTGAAGAATCTAAGCCTCTCATCATATTCTAGAGAATTCGATCTTCGAATTTTCCAACTCCTTTCTTGAACCCTCTCCTACAGGAAGTAATCTATGATACAATAAAGAAACTTTTTTGGTGCAAAACAATAAAAGAATGCAAAAGAATGATATATATATATATATATATATATTAAAGTATTGTGATAAACAGTATAGTTCACACAAGCAGGGGGTCATAGCCCCCATAGTCTCACTTAGTTCCATCATTGTATATATATATATAGATATTCACAAATTCAAACACTCAAACTGCAAATTGCTTGTTATGATTCTTTATTGTTTGAATTTATGAATTTGAAATGAAAGTATTTGATACCGTTTACTAGAATAGCTAAAATGTAGATTTACTAGTTTAAATATGAATTTTAACATATTGAATTTCAAAGCTTTGTACCATGGATTTGAAATAATGAAGGAAAATTGAAATCTTATCTCTTCAATCTCTGGGTTGGTTTGGATCGAGTGATTTGGTGAGAAATTATAAGAAATGAGTAAAAAGAGAATTTGTTTTCTTCTCGTGTTTGGTTTACAAGTTAAATGAGAAATTATGAAAAACTACGAGAAATGAAGAGAAAGGGAACTCTCTTATTTTATAGCGTTTATTTGTCAGCAAAAATAATGGTTGAGATTTCGTGAGAAATAAGGTGATTAGTTGCCTATTTTCTTATAATACCGAGGTTGTCTACTAAAGTACAAAGGAAGAAAAGGAAAATTTACTCATATTATATCCCTAAATCACATGGGTGAGCACTATAACTTCATTATTTGTAACTTTCATCACAAAAATCGTAACTTTCCTTACAATGCGCAAGTGTACATTGTCATATTTAAAAAAAATAAAAATTGATATCTGACATAACATAAGAAGGCACACAAGCTTGTACTCAGTTTTTGGTTTTGTCCAGCAATGGAAAACTCTTTCATGCTTAGGGGCCAATTTGACTAGAGCTTAGTAGAGGACGATAAGTTATTGAACTTTCGAACCTGTCTTCTTCTCATGGTGGTTCTCTCCATCTAGTCATGGAGCAATTATTCGTTGCCGGTCTAATTTTTCACCATCAATGGTGGCATTCACGTGACAGTGCTACAAAATCAATCTTAAGCTTTCATTTATATGATTCCCACATGGGATGCACACAAATAAAAGGCTGAGATTAATTTGTGACATGAAATAATTTTTGCTAGTTTTGATGACCTTGTTTTTGCCATTGTCTATCATGGCAGGGCCTTCTTTGGTACAGCACCAGATGCAGGGCAATTAATGGCCATGCTCTTAAAGCTTGTGAATGCTAAAAAGACAATTGAAGTTGGAGTTTTTACTGGCTACTCTCTTCTTCTCACTGCTCTAACCATTCCTGATGATGGCCAGGTTCCTAGATCCATTCATCCTCATTCCTTTTAAAATTAAGGGTAGAAGGCAAATTACACTCTGTCCTGCTGCATTTCACTCCGAGTCTCACTTTTTCCTAACCTTTTAATTGTGACAGTCAAGTTTGCATTGTGACTCAATTGTGAGTCTCCGTTTAAGAAACTTGCGAAAAATAGTGGCGTGCACATGATCGTCACATGGCTATCTTCCCTCTTCTTGACAATTGGGTCACAATGTGACTTCATTAGAAATACAAGGGGTTAAATGTGACAATTAAATGGTTAAAGGCCAGGTGAGAATTGGTGCTTAGTTCACTCCAAAAAAAAAAAAAACTCTGTACACCCATCTTACATGAGTTTTTTCCCCATAAAATACAAGGGTCTCGATGCAGAAGGTGGCTGTAATGAGAAATAATTGAAATGTATTTAGAAGCTCCCTTGTCATTTTTTTTAATAAAAAAATTAACAACAAATTACATTTTTCTTTCTTTGCACTTTACACTTAGTCTTACTTTGCCTTGACCTTTTAATTGTGATAGTCAAGTTGCAATGCAACCCAATTGTGAGTCTCCATTAAAGAAACTCATGTAAAATAGCCACGTGACAACTGCACATGATCATCACGTGGCTATTTTCCGTTTATCTTCTTAATGAAGTGCAGGGAAGCAAAGTACTCTAAAATTAATATCCATCTGTTGAATCAATACTTTGTTGCAGATTGTGGCTATTGATATAAACCGCGAGGCATATGAGATTGGGTTGCCAATTATCCAAAAAGCTGGTGTTGAACACAAAATTGACTTCATCCAGTCTCCAGCTCTACCGGTTCTTGATAAACTCTTAGAGGATGTAAGTACTGCCCATGAATGATCATCAGGTTTGGTTAGGAATACCTAACACCTAATCACGATCGGTGAAACATGAAACATGAAACACAAAAATTAATAAACACACAGGAAGATAAATCACACGAACACACAAAGAACATAAGGTTTATATGGTTCACCCCAAACTAGGGCTATGTCCATGATTACAGTGGTTTTCAATATGATCAAAAAGGTTACAAGAGCTAGTAGCCTTCTCTCAATTATAAATACAAATAAAATTAGGTTGACAGGTCACAAGTGCAAAAATACTAGAAATAAATTTGGGGTTGATTGTTTAGAGCCCACCCAGTACTTACCAAGACCCACACTAACAGTTTTATCTTGCTTGAGTTGAAACTTGAAACTTATTTTCTTTTATTTTCATTTTGAATAATTTTCTACTCAATTTTGTCACCTCACATGAGTTCAATGTTGTTTTTTTTGTTTTGTTTTGGGCTTTGTTGCAGAAAGACAATGAAGGGGCTTTTGACTTTGCTTTTGTTGATGCTGACAAAGGAAACTATTTAAACTACCATGAGAGGTTGATGAAACTGGTGAAGGTTGGGGGTTTGCTTGTCTATGATAACACCCTTTGGGGAGGAACTGTTGCTAAGCCTGAAGAGTCTGTTCCGGTTTACAAGAGACAGTGGAGGAAGGCTACGATTGAATTCAGCAAATCAATCACAGCCGATCATCGCGTTGAGATATCACATGTTCCATCTGGAGATGGGGTCATTATCTGCAGGCGCATCTGCTGAAGTTTCACTGGTGGCATTGTGGTGGTGGTGTTGACGGAGGTGTTTTTGTTGTTGTTGGGGGTGGTGGTGGTAGTAGTCGTGATGGTTATTAGTATAGACAAGTACTCTTTACATTTCACAATGGTTATCACAATTTTATGAAGTTTCCACAAAGTATGCCTGTGTTTTGCTTCTTTTTTTTTTTTTAATGTGAAGAATTGGGTACCCCTTTCACGCCTCATTGAGTATTTTGGGATTAATGGAGATTTGGGCACTCCAACTTTGTATCAAATCATTTTCCATAATGGGTCATTGATCTTTGTTATACTTAATTATTTTTACTCGGACATCCAACATCCACTAAAATGTCACATATCACCACAATACTAACATTTATGATACACCGACATCCCTATCGAGGTCACATATTGGTTCCCAACACGTGTCAGATACGTTGGGAATATGTGAGAAATACAGTGTCCCTTATATGTATAATTTCTGATTTTTTTTTTATTTTTACATAAAATTCATACAAAAAAACTTTATAAGAATGATGTGATAATGCCATTATTATAAATAAACTTATCTTCATTGGTATTTTGTTTTGAAGCGAAAGATTCACAATGAGTCATATCATTATATATGAAAATTATGAATTTTTTGTTTGTATAACATTACTCATAATTTGTTTTCAATGGAGCAGTATACCTAAGGTTAATGAGTTTGATGATAATAAATATTTAACATAAAATAAATATATAAACTTAAAAAGTATGATATAATAAATTTATAAAATTATATATTTTGCACATATCTCTCGTTACGTTACGTGTTGTGTCCTATATTAATTTTTTTTTTTTTTTTTTTAAAAACTGTGTTTTTCATGTCTGTGTGCAAGTTTTTTAGACTAATATAATGTAATATTTCAATTTTAAATTTGTAAAGGAAAAAAAAAAGGTAAAGAGAATGTAGAAGTAAAAGAATATGAGTTCATTTTTTTGTTGGGTTGGTTAGGTAAATTAGAAAAGAAAATGAACAGTGTGTTGGATGATGAGACAAACATGACCCTATGGCACTACCCTCAAAGAATGTGTTTTTTTTTATCCTCACATAATTGAAATTGAATATTTACTTAATTTAATTGGACTTGGTGTGTATATGTGTAATCATATGAATTGTGATTTGCTACTCCCAGAGTAAATAATCACGGTGTGAATCAATTGAGCAAAATTTAGTTAGATGATACTTTCTCTTTATTTTGTTAATTTTTTATATACTTATTAAGGGGCCATTTCCCTAAATAAGCTAAAATAGTAAATTAATTTCCAAACTAAGCTTAGTTTTCAAAGAATTTCCAGAATAAGCTAACTCGCGGTTCATAATCGCGATTTCAACATTTTTCCGCCTGTCTCGGGTGAAAGTTGGGAAATCTTAAATTCGTGGTTACAAAAAGCGCTTTCGATTAATAAATCATGGTTATAAAACGCGATTTTAATTAACTTTTCTTTCCTTTGAACTCGCTGTGTAACGCCCTCAAAATAAACCCATAATATATAACAGTGACATGCATTAATAAAAGAAAACCAACCATTATACCATTCATCAGAGTATTCTTATTGAAAAGCATTACATGTAACATCAAAAGTAAATGCCCTATGGACTTACATCTTTCCAAGCCAACACTTGGACACAAAATGTGAGTACTAACTTAACTACAAATTAAGCCCTTGGCTTGATTGTTTACATGTAATATCAAATAAAATAAATAACAACTAAACTAAACAGAGTCTTCAACTCCAACTCCTTCCAAGCTAAGTCCTTGGATGTAGCATATCACCTGAACCTGAAAATGATGTTCCCGTATAGTGTGAGCCACATCCCAGTAGAAACATACTAAACCAAATATAAGCATTGAATAAAGCAATAGTATTCAATAGATGGTTAACACAACTATTCACTTTCCCAACATACAGTTTCATGACATTAATGTCGATGACACGTTTCATTTTCTATTATTTGTTCAACTTTCCATTTATATCAATATGGCTCAGAACCTGACCAAACTATAACAGTGAACTAAATATCACATTAACATTTCTTTCAATATCAACAAAACAAATGAGACTAAGGCCTCGTTTGGCAAGAGGCTATTTTAGCCAATTAGTCAAAAAGTTACTAAATTAGCCAAAAGCTAACAACCCATACCAAAAAGTCAAAGATTCTCTTTTCTCTCTACTTTTTGCACATCTTTTCGTAATTAACCAAAAAGTCATCCCAAACATACAAGTTTTTTTTACCTACCTTTTTAGCCAAATAGCTAAAAAGTTATTAAATTAGCCTGTTCCCAAACGAGGCCTAAAGGTTGATTTAGGAATCCAAAAATAAGAGTCCAAAACATTTTTCAACTGATTGTGGCTAAACCTCAAGGCTGCATTCACACAATGTGGTAAAAAAAAAAAAAAAGAGTAGCAAATCAAGCACTACACACAAGGAATTTGTTCCAGCAGTGATTAAGTTGGGTCCGCCGCCCCTATTCTCGGAACAACAAGACTCTCTGCTTTATTATTATTAAAAAGTAAGGAGTGTGGGAGGTCAACCCAAGGATCTATGGAGGAAGTAGGCCGGTGGTATCTGTCTTTTTGCAAGGCCTGGTGGTGGTCCATACCACATAGACTATTCTTGTAGTTGTGGTCAACTTCTGTCTCATGGGGCTTGGATAGCCCTCATAGACTTAGTCCCCCACCATTCTCAATGGCTTCAGACAACTCTTATCAGGTGGTATCTCTCACTCTCCTCTCCCACTTGTCCAAACACACATGCACTGATGCACACACGCGTGACTTACCCACTGAAAAGTTTTAGATGTACACTAAAATGATTAGAGAAGGCCAACAACATCAATATAGTAGGTGTTAAAAACTGTTCTCCCACAATGGTAATTATATTCATTTATATATTTGCCTGCCCAGTAAAAATTGAACAAAAACATCAATAAATAAATAAATCAATCAATCAATCAAAAAAGAGAATTCCTCCAACAAAAATACTTAATACCGAGTTCTGTTCTATTTCACTAACCTTTGAAATTGTGAAATATTTGTAGAGATAGATAAGCCAGTGAAAGCCATACTGGAAATCATAGCTCTGATAAAGTCAAGATGGATGGCATGTCAAGTCCAACATTTCACCTGAGCAATTTGAACACTGCTGATACGCAGACCAAACCCTTTTACATATGCCTTCAGTGTCAGCCTCAACTCCCCACAAGACAATGTAGCCAATCCATTTAAAATCCAACTTCTATCCAGAATATTTGAAAGAAATGCCAATACAAGTTTTTTATGACTCCTATTAAATTGAGGAACTGAATTGCTGCTTCTCTTTCATTTCCTTTCACTTTTTCCTTTTCATTCTTCTACAGTATACCTCAACCAAAAAACAATTCATTTGAAACGTCTTTTTGGACAAATATACCTGGCATCTCATCATGGTGCAAAATTGTCTTCAAAACAGTTCCCTGTCAACAATTCTGTTGAAGAGGTCAAGAATGATCAACAGTTTGCAGTTAAACATTTGCATAAATTATCCTATTCTTGTTCAAATATCACCAATAATCCCTACAGGAACATATCCCATCCCTAAAATGGTGAAATCGTTTTGAATCTCTGACTACAATTTCATGGTTAACAATCTTGGAAATCAACCTAATAGCAGTGTGACAGTCACTACAAACCCTGAGGTTCTTAATGATCTGAACCGTTGTGCCAGGAACTGTACTCATTATTCCAAAGGCAACAGCCAACTTTTCACTATGAACTCGCAGTGTCATTTCCTTCTCTTCCTCATCAACATCATGAAGAACTGATGTCATATTGGGAACATAACCAATTTCCTGCATCTTCAGAGTTAATTCTTCCAAGTATTTGTATATCTTCTCATGCTGAGGATGCTCTCTATCTCCAACCAAAAATACATGAACCCCACCTTTAACTTCAACCAAACTGAACCCAGGTGGTTTAACCAGTCCATGATTCTTCATTAATATTCTCATCCTTTCCACATCTTTCCACCTTCCAACATCAGCATATATGTTAGAAAGCAAGACATAGTACCCACAATTACTTGAGTCTATTTGAAACAATTTCCTCGCAGAAATCTCTGCAAGCTCCACGTTCTTGTGGATTCTACATGCAGCAAGAAGAGAACCCCAAACCACAAAATCAGGTCTCACCTTCATTTCTTTGATCAAATCATAAGCCTCCTTAAGAAATCCAGCACGCCCAAGCAGATCGATCATGCACCCATAATGCTCCACCCCGGGCTCTATACCAAATTTGTGTTCCATGGTTCTAAACCAATGCCAGCCTTCATCCAATAGACCAGCATGGCTACAAGCTGCTAGAACAGACACAAAAGTTATATAATTAGGTATGACCCTGGCGCTAATCATCTCATAGAAGACTTCCAAAGCTTCTCTGGCACATCCATGCATGCCATAACCAGCAACCATAGCAGTCCATGATTTCACATTCTTCTCCTTCATGCGGTCAAATGCTCTCCTTGCCATCCCTACTCTCCCACATTTGCAATACATGTCGACAACAGAAGTGCCCACAAAAACATTCTCCTCCAAACCCATCTTTATGACCTATAAAAGAGAAAAGGACATGGCAAAATTAAATAACTTTTACAAAATTGAGATCATTAAGCAGGGGCGACACCAGCTAATTGCTGATTGTGGCCCCATCCCCCACCAAGCAAACAAAAGTTTAAAAAAATAATTTATCTGTATTGTTAATATTTTATTTTATATAATTTGCTTCTTATAAAAAATTAGGGACCCCATCAAATAAGAAAAAATGTTCAATAGAAAAGTCAAATGTAGTTATATTCTGGGAGTGTGGTTCACCCTTGACAAGTAGGTTTATTGTTGGTAGGTAATACCATATGTCAATAGTGACATGGTATCACCATAACATTGAATTTTTACTCTATTTAGTAAATAATTTTCAAAAACAGTTTTT